GTGTCAAAATGGTCAAGCACCCTCGAGGCAGTTACACAGTGCTTACAGCTATCTCAGGAAGTGAAAGCACCAGAAAATAAATTAATTCATACGCAGCTGTCATCCGTACGCAAGGAAGTAAGCACAAGATGCCGAACACCCTTAGCAGGATGCAGCGCACCCTTCATGCGACTCGCCGAATATCTCACGGCGCTTCGCGCTTGGTGATGTGAGAGCCTGGTCCGGTGAGAACCCTGCGTGCTCCGTCCCGGCTTTGTAGGGGTGCGAGGTCATTGGTCTAATGACTACGGCATGCACGACTATGAGTACACCCGCACCCCCCCGTCCCATATTTCGCCCGGAAGATATACGAGGCTGAAGGGGCCGATGGGACTATCGGACCGATGGCGCTCGGCTCCGTGGGGTGGATCATGCCCGGGGTTAAGACCACGGAGAAGTACTACAGCTACAGGTACCATACCGACAAGGGGGGGCTCTTCCTGCCGGACAAGCGCTACGGCATCCCTGTGCCCCACCTGCAGGAGGTATTTCTTTATTTCTTTTTTACGTATTTGTTCTGTTTTGCCGAACGCGAACGTTGCTTTTGTATGCTGGTGGTGGCACTGCTGCTGCTGCTGCTGCTGCTGCTGTGTTGTTGGATGTTTCTGGCTGTTCGCCCATCCCGTCGAGTTTGTCGGACATCTCGTGCTGGGGGTGTACCCGCCTTCAAATTTCCGAGGTTAGTGTCGATAGTAGTGCGGCAAAGAGTATCCAACGACATCTTGGGTTAGGGAAGCTGTTTGTGACAACGCATCTCTGCAAATCTACCACTACCCAAAAACGCACCGCATTTCCATTGCGTACAATGCACTTTCGATTGTGCTACTAAGGGACTGGCGGCGGTGGCGACCCCCAACGTAAGTTGTCCATCAATGGCCGTGGGTGTGTGGCCGGATATTCGCGCCAGCTAGACGAATCTCGCGCTCGTTTCTGCATTTTGGTATTTTGGCGGGGGAGGGGCGCCCCGAGTGTCACGCATGACCGTCGCGGGTTGCCGTGTAGACCATCGCATTTCGACGAAGCTGGGACGGAGCTTACCGCAATGCGAAGAAATGTACCAGGTGTACTCTTTGGCGTTATGGGAGGTGTGAGTGCGGCGGGGGGGTCATGCAGATAGAAATCTGGGGTAGTCGTGGATCACGTAGTCAAAAGCACCCTCACAGCATTATTATTTCGACACAGCAGTATGTGCTTGGATTTTTATGCTGCCGCCCCCACACTTTTTTTTTTTTTTT